GTTTAAATCAAATTTTGAACAAAGGAGAAAATTTTTACCTCTTTTGGAGGTCAGGAGTGGCTCCGACGCGGCGGCGGCGGTGGTCGGCTTCCTTCCCGGCAGCTAGGTCTTCTTCTCTGGCCAAGGGAGGGTCTGGCAGCTAGGGTTAGGATTTTGTGTGAAGAGGGTTATTTATATCTGTTCTCTTTTAATCTGGGTTGTCCATCGCATTTGATATGAATTGTCCGATCGTAATTAAATAGAGAGTGAATATAGTCCATTCATCACGATCTAATCTGGACCGTCCGATTGTATTTAAATAGGAAGTGGATTTACACCGTTCATCGCGTTTAAATCTAACCGTTCAATCGCGTCTGGGGAGAGAACGGATCCGAGCTGTCCGTGCGCGCGGGAACGAATCCGGACCGTCTGATCGCGGGCATACGGATCGCCAGCGTGGCCTCCCGCGTGGCACCGCGTTAACGTGGCTTGCCACACGGCGCGCTACGATTCGTCGGGGTTGCTGATTGGGCGTCCTACGTGATACAATTTTTTTATATTATATTTTAACCTCCGGTTTCTTATTTTTTTTTTAAAAATACTCTCATAATCCAAAATTTTACTTTTTTTTTTCTAAAATTATTTTCAATTTTATTCTACAATTAATTTTCTTTATTTTTATATTAAAATAAAATTCAAAAAACTAAAAAGATATATTTATATTAAAATTAATTAATTAAGAGTATTACAATATATGTATTAAGAGAGAGAATTAAGTAAAGAGTTTAAATGTTAATTATATCACCAAAATTAGCATATATTCTATATATGAGTGTATATAATATATATTAACGTCTCATCTAGAATATTATATATTGTGTTATTATATTAAATGACAGTTAAAATAAATAATAAATTAATTATAAGAGAAAATTTTAATTAATAAAAAAAGTTAAATGTATTATTTATACATTAATAATGAAAATTTACGAAATTATATGACATTAAATTGATTGAAAGTTCACGACCACCCGACTTTTTATGCATCAAGATAGATATTATTGTTCTGTTAATTTTATCCAAAAATTTCCAAATAAAATATTCTTATTCTGGACCCATTGAGCTTTTTATTGGGCCTAGAGAGAACCGACCCGTTATCCTCACGCACTTCTTCTCCCTCCCTCTCTAAGAGGGCAAAGAATCCCCAGAGCCTACTACGCTCGAGACCCAGAAACCTCAACTCTCTTCTTGGAACGGACGGGTCAGGCACAATCTACTCTCTTGAGCCCCCCCAACCCACAACCCATCTGAAACGAATTCATCTCCAACCATCTTAGGTTGCCCCCACTTGGGTGACAAGTTCGCGTTGCTGAACTCGGCGACGGGGTGTCCCCCTCATTGGAATATATAAATAAGTTTTTTTAATTATAATTTCTGATGTGGGATAACGATCTGAAAGGAACTTTTGGGTCTCTGGGTGACGATGAACAGCGTAAATAGCTTCCTAAACTTTGTGTGCAAGTGCCGGTATTCTCCTTGCAAAACGTTTTTATGTGGGTGAAGGGTGTAGATTGTGCTGTTGATTGAGTTATTCGTGTTTACGTTGATGAGAAGGTATGATGATTTATCGGGTGCAGAAGGATGGAAGAGGAGTCATTTTCAAGTTGATGATATTGTTCTGCGTTTTCTTCTTATTAGTATACGATACATATATAAATCCCAATAACACCACACACGCACATACATATATATATATATATATATATACACATACATATACAGATAATATATAGGTAGGTTAGTTCCAGCTTTTCGAAAATGGCTCTCACATGTACACTTTCTTTTTCCCTTAAATCTTCTAGTGGGTTTGTTGATGCTTTTATTTTTCGAAGAATTGGAGGGTTTTTTTTTAATAGTCGTAATAATACCTGCAATCAATCAGCCCCTGTGTGAGATGGCGAGCGGTGGGTGGTAGCCTCAAAACGGCGGCTCTTTCTGCTC